CGACAGGCGCTCAGCAGCCAGAGGCACAGCGCGGCAGCGGCGCTCAGGTCCATGGGCTCCGCGGGCCGGGCGGGCGGGCGGCGCGGGCTCCGTGGCTCCGGGAAGTCCCCCGGCGCCTTTTGAACATAGTGTTTAATAATGGGGGAAGTGTGCGCAGCGAGCCGCGGCCCCCCCTCCTCTCCCACCTCACCCCACCTCCTCCCGACGCCCGGAGCAGCGCCCCCTGCTGAACGCTCTGGCAGCGCCGCGCCCCCTCTCCCTGGCCTCGCGGAGTCGGGGGCCCGGGCCTCCCCCAACACCACAGCTCCTCGCCCCCACTCTCGCCGGCCCGAGGCTCCCGCCAAAAGCCCGTGCTCCCATCACAGCTGGTGCCCCGCCTCCGGTCCCCAGGCGCCGGATCCCCGCGGCCGCCCGGGCGCAACCAGACGCGCACTGCGGGTTCGAGACTCAGGCCGCAGCGCAGCGGCCCCGCCTCCGACCCACTCCTCCGCGCAGAAACGCCCCCCTTCAGCGCTCTGGTCCGGTAAGGCCGCGGAAGCCACATGTGGGGAGGAGGGAGAGTTCGCCCACGGTCCCGGCGTCCCTGCGCACCGGAGGCCACCAGGACGCGCTGCGCAGCCACAAAGGCGCGTTCTCGGTCACAGTTTCGGGTATCCCCTGTCCTACTGCAACCCTAAAGAATTGGAGCAGAGGGCCAGAGGCAGATGGACGTGGACAAACCATCGAACAGGAAAGGATCCAATCGCTTTAAGGAGTTGAGGAATTCCAAAGGCAGCTCGGCAGCTCGGGGCGATGAGGGTACTTCCGCACATGGAGTGGAGCCCCGCGTTCTCCTGTCCTACACGTCACAAGTGGCGACCTTCCATACCTCCCCTTTCTTCAGGGTGACCCTGGCTGACGGAAACCAACTACCGGTATGTGTTCTGCCGCGGCCAGAAGCCAGGAGGGTGACAGTGTGCCTGGTGGAGCCCAGGTGCACAGGCTAGAGGTGGGTGGAGGGGGCGCTCGGGCCGCCCACAGCAAGGGAAGATCCTGCAAGGGGACAAGCAGAGAAGTGAGATTGCTCAGCAGACAACCTCCCTGAGTCTAGACAACAGCAGGTCGAAGTACCTGGCCGTGTGGATCCCCAAAGAAGTTTCCTTTTCTCTAACATTGCATTGCTCACGGAACTTCAAATCTAAACTTGGGCGGTGCGTCTGTGACCACTTTGAGATGGTGATCAGCGTGAGCAGAATACCATAGCGCACGCAGCCGCGTGGGTGCCAACACTCTCTGGGTGGCCCACACACTGACCCACAGAAGAGGCCCGGGACAAGCTCCAGAGTCCACTGAATCGCCGCTTCCTCCCAAGCGAATTACTCCAGCACTGCTGCACCGGTGCTGGCTCCACTGTGGCTTTGAGCCACTAAACTCAAGATGGTTTGGGGTTGGAGAAAGAGGCCTGGTGACCAGGTTGGAGGAGAACGGTCCATCAGTAGTGAGAGCGTCTAAGCTGGGAGGGGTGGTCTGGATGCCCACCCGGGGTCCTCAGGGAGCTAGAACCAGCAGGCCTGGGGCACAGGCCCAGCTGAGATGCTGACAGTGTTGCCTTAGCACACCCTGGCGAGGGACGGAGGTCACAGGTTCCAGGACGCAAGGGCTGTGTAGGATCTGGCAGAAGATACACACACACTGGCCAGCCAGGCTCTCTCCGCTGCAGCCTGTGCTGGGTCCTTTCCAGGGCAGTCTCTTCAGCTTTGGTTTGGGGTGTTTTCCGGATCAGCTCCACAGTGATTGCACAAACACCTGGGAGCCCTATACTAGGTCTCATTTGGCCTTAACCTGCACCAGCAAGTCCCTTCCTTATCTTGATTGTCCTTAACCATAAAGGAGAGTGGAGGAGGCCTGGCACAACCTTGGCACAGTGGGTGACAAACAGGTTTGTTGATTACACCAGGACACTGCTTCCTGAGGCCACGTTGGGGCTGAGGAAGCAGGGATGAGCTGTTGTCCCTTTCTGTCCTCTGTGGGAGCAGACTTCTTAGCTTTTTTGAGACCAAGTTTCCTCATCTGTAAAATGGGAAGACTCACCTTAGGAAGTTTATGTGTGGCTAGGATACAGGCTAGCACAGAGGAGGCCCAGTTGCCCAGTCCCCATCTGTGTTCTGAGTGCTAGGGTGACCAGGGCAGAGGTTATGGGGCCTGGGAGGCTTTGGAGGGGACTGCCTGCAGGTGACTGGTGCTACTGACCGGGACCTAACCTCCTACCTGTGTTTTTTTGTGCCATGAAGGCAACCATTGATCCATCCATCCCTGCCTCCATCCGTCCCTCCCTCCTACCAGTCATGTCTTCTTTCAGGTAAATTCTTATTGCCAGACTCTCTGCAGGAGATGTGGGTTCAGTAATGTGCAGGACAGATGCATATAGCCTTGGGTGGACAGGAGAAATAATAAACAGCAAGTACAGTGTGCTGTTAGGTGGTTCCCAGTAATCTGATGGAAGCCAGGGCCAGGAGGGCAGGCTGTGACCAGCAGGGAACTGAGCCCAGAGAGAAGGAAGGGTGGAGGGTGTGAGGGTCATGCCTGGCTCCCTCCCTCCACCCTAACTAATGACATTAGCCATTTGTTACCTGCCCACTGCTTTACACAGCTCCTGCATTTCATTGATACAGCTGCCGTATCCTGTGAGGGAGAGATTATCATTTCCATTGTATAGGTGAATTGGGTCAAAAAGAAGTTTAGCTCCTTGCTCGAGGTCATGTGGAGATTGGCAGAGCCTGGATCCCAACAGTCTCTGCCCATTCCTCAGCTTCCTCTGGCCCCCTGATGGGAGGGTGAGGGGCCTTGGGCCACTGACTTTCTCCCCCAGTCCCAGCAGAAGTACAGTGCTCCCACATTCCCTCCCGAGCTCCCTGGAAGATTCTCTGCAGAGAAAGGAACCCTGGGGTTTCTTAGCCAATCATGAAAGTGTCCCCAGTGGACACCTTCCTGCCACTGCTTTCAGCTGGGAGCTTGCAGCGCCTACCATGGACGAGTCTGTCCTATCAGGGCCTGTCTGTGATTGGGACCCCTAAAAGTCCCACATGGACATCCACAGCCCGTGAATGCACACCCATCTGCAGTGGAGATCAACTGCACACTCTCACCGAATGGATCTGATGTGCAGCCCTCCAGACTCCAGCAGTGTCTCAGACAGCAGAAGTGAGCCTGGCTCCAACAGCCAGGGTAGCGGGAGATGCCAGGTTGGGGTATTGGTTCTTCCCTGGGCTGAGCCAGGTGAGGTCCCACATTCCCACCTCCAGACCTTTCTCTTGGGAGCACTTTGTAATGCATCCTCCCCTGCAGAAGCCGTTGGCTTTCTCTCTGAACACCAAGTCCTGGATTCCATCATAGAAACCCAGGATGTGGAAGAAGCTGTGGGGTTGTGCAGACTGAGTTTGGTGCCATGCCTGAGTCATAACAAAGTGTTTGCTTTATTGTTTACATCCTCACAGAGTCAGGAGCTCCCTGTCCCAGTCTTCTCATAGCCTGGTGTGAGGCAGCCGTGCATTCTGCACCTGTGTGAGCCACGTCTCAAAGGCATCCTTCACCGTGGAGTAACATGTCACCTAGGTTACTTACTTCGAAGTTAGAAGTTAGATTTGCATCCTGCCAGCTGGACAGAGCCAGCCCCCTTAGGCATAGATCCTGCCCCTTAAAGCTGTTCTTGGATCCTACCAGCTACAACCAGGTAGTGATGACCCTCAGATCCTAGGACTTGGACACCCAAACAGTGGCTCCACGTGTGATGACCAGAAGTGACCTGCCCTGCAGCCCACATTGTGCACATGGGGAAGTCAATCTCCAGCAGAGGGAACTGATGAGCAGCCTGTCATGTGGCATGACAGCCATGCAGTATCCAGGTTCTTTCTGTGAGTCTGGACTCCAATAGTCTCAGCTTAGCTCTGCACATGGCACGTGCAGGTGAAGTGTGCCAGGCATCAGACTATGTCCTGTCCCCTGCTGAGAGTGCTGGGCCCCTGAGCCAGTCACTAATTTAAACTCAGAGCATGCCTCTTCTTGGGCTGCAAGTCTGCCCTTCCTGGCTTTAGACCCCCAGATGATCTCATGTCACCAAGGGCCTGCCCATGCCAGGTAGAGAAGGAGGGGATGGAGTCTATCCTGTGTGGATGAACCACGGCCCTATGGAAGCTGGAGAGAGGGCTGGGGGAGGAGGCTGGGTTAGGTCTCACTGGGAGGGTGGGAGAGGGAAGGTGGTGACCACAGCCCTCGGAAGCATCTATAGGGCTTCTCTCTATTTAGCTATGCTGGGCTCCGATCAGCCCTCAGCCCAGAGATGGACTGCAAGCCTCTCTCCAGAAAGACCTGGAGTAGCAGAGAAGGGTAATAAGATTCCAGCAGGCTCAGCTCAGCCCCTATAATGCCCAGGACTGGGCTTCCTCAGACTCAAGGAATTTCCCATGCTCAAGCCCTAGCTGCAATACCCAGGTTACCCCTGGCAACAGCTCTGGCATCCAGGCCTGCAGGGGATGTCTCAGAGCCCTTGGGTTAGGAACAAATGGCAGTAGGCTGCCATCTGCTGGTCACAGGTTGTAGCAGCGCCCCCGTGAGGCTGAGCTCCCTGGCTCCAGGGTTACCAGGACCAGGACAGTCAGGAACGAGGCTCAGGAGCAAGGGTCAGGACCCTACAGCGACCAAGCTTAGCTGGTGCTGTAAGGTGGCTTGGGAGATGAGATGATCACACACCTCCACTAAGTCAAGAAGAAGACTACTGTCCAGGGTCACGGTGAGGATCTGGCTTCCTGACTACCTTTGTGCTGGCTTTGTGCTCTTATCTCCATGGACTTGCTTAACCCCGTGAGTGGGACAGGAAGGCCAACTTATGTGCCAAAGAGTAAATGAAGGAAAGCAGGGACAGTCCTTCCCTCAGGGCCTGGTTCGTTTAATGGTGGCTTTTATTGTTTCCTGGTAAGTCCTGATCTGACTACTAAAAGGCTAGTTCATCTCACCTCTCCATCTAATCTCTGGGTGGCCACCACCCTTTCAGCAGCACCACTCTGTGGACCGGCCTATCACGACCACCAGTATTCTGAATGTTCTGGAGTTGCATCTCTATTAGATTTTCTTGGAGACCTTCACGGACACATAAGGTTTTAAAAAAATTAGGAATAAAAGAGCTGTGACACTTTCCACATTAATTTGGAATCTCCAGTCCTCAATCTTGGTGTAATAAGCCCAAGGTTTGTGCTCTAGGCAACACAAGATTAAGGGGACAAGACTACCAAGATTTCATCCCTAAGAGACAGGGGAAGGCAGGTGAGGGCAGAGTGGGAGAGACCCCTTCAAAGTCACGTCCTCCTGTCCTCCTGTCCTCCTGTCCTCCTGTCCAGGATGATGTCTCACCGCCAGCTGGAACCAGAAGCTTCTCTGGGTACGCAGAGACATGGGGAGTGTCGCAGCTGGCTGGACTTAACAGGTTGGGTGCGCCATCTCTGGTCCTCTGGCCCATGTGGCAAAAGCATCTATGAAATTCGCCAGCAGAGGAGGGGCACTGACCAAACTGCGGCTGGAGTCTAGGCCATGGCAGCCCTCACTGCCTCCCCACTTCCTAGGCAGCTGACCCACTCGGAATGATGTGTTCCACGGAGCAGAGAACCTTCTGGCTTCTGTCCCCAGGCATCTCTGCTGGCTTGGACAAAGAGCTATGGGACTCTAACCCAAGTGCTTCTCCTGATGGCCATGGACACAAGCCTGGAAGTTAGTACAAATATTGGGTAACAATCAAACTCCAAAAAGTCATCTGTAAATGGCACATGAAACAATGAGAGGGCACTTTATAAATCTCTCAGGTTAACAAAGCTGAAAAAGATACAATCCAATGTGGAGGAGAGTATGGGGGAATGGGCGCTTCCTTACACTCTTGGCAAGAATATAAATTTATAGAGTTTTTTTTCCAGGAGCAACTCAACAGCATCAGTATTTTAAAGAAGGAAATGTTTTGTCCTGGCACTTTCACTTGTAGAAATGTAATTTAATTTACAAGTATACTTGTATACATGGTGATAAATATATAAGGATTAAAACAAAACTTGAGGTCATAGTAAAAACTGGAAATGTCCATAATGGCATTGGATACAGTAAGGGTGGAATCAGTGATGCAGTGACACTGTGGACCTCTGCTGTCCTGCTGTAAGAGGAGTCAAGTTGCACGCACAGTGTGCAAAGGTACCACGATGTATGGCACCCAGATACAGGGTGCCAGGGGACAGGGTGGCAAAGACGACTCTCGGCCGTGTACACCAAAGGAAGGCCACTTTGATGGATTTGGGTCTGTTACCTGTCACTGTGGCGGGTGTGCATCTGTTACTGCCTGCCGTCCCCCGGAATCTTTCCCTCTCCTTTCGGGTTATATATTACATGTTAAATCAATAAACCCTCTGTAGAGCTCTTCATTACCAGGTATCAAAACAAACTCATTCTGCCTGCAGTCTAGGACTGGAAATAGGAATGACAGGTCCTGAGAATAAAATAGAGATTCCATAAGCAAATAACAGTGCTTGAAATATTTAGACTATAACAACAGTGACAACTTCAGAGAAAGGAGAAATGAATTGTTCAGCAAAAATTACCAATGAGTGGTACTAGGTAGTTCATTAAATATCAATGGAAAACTGACCCTTATCTCATAACATAAACTAAATTAATTCCTGGTTAATCAAGTGATGATAGAGATTGAAACTTTGACGAGCATACTTGGAGGAAACATAAATATTTATACAGTCGGACAAGGAATACTTTTCTAAGTATAATTTCACTGTCAAAAACAAGAGTAATGTCCACACCTGAAACTTCATAAAAATCTTAAAACATATATGTAAAAAATCCAAAGCACAGAACGGAGCTTGACCAAAACATCAAACTTGGTGTTGTGAGTCCCAGTGGACAATGGCATCACGGGCCCTGAGTATGATTCCCCAGGGTAGCACTCCTGCCAACAGTCCGGCCACATCTGAGAGAAGCAGTTAAGACAACCTCAAGCCAATTCTGCACCATGGACTTGGACTCTGCAAATATGTCAACATCATGAAAGATGAAAAAGCCTGGGAAACAGTTTTAAAATAAAGGGGACTCAAAGGACAAGGTTACTAACACAAGATAGGGCCCTCAATTCCATCTTGATTGAGGGAGGGGAGGGGGATGGGGAGGCAGGAAGCAGTTGTAAATAAAAGTCCTTGTTGGGGCAGCGGGAGGAACTGGAGTGTGGGCTGCACATCGGGTAGCAGTATGGCATCCACCTCTGCTCGCTGCTTTGCAGTTACGCAGGAGCATTCTCTTGTTCTAAGGAGATAGCTGCTGGAGTAGAAGACAGGGCCCTGCTATTACAGCTAACTCTTCAATGCTTCAAGGAAAAACCACCAACAGGGAGACACAGAGAGAGGTGGGTGGGGGAGAGAAGATGAAGCGAACAGCACAGGAGAAGGTGCAGGACCTGTGAATGTGCTGCCCAGCCCCTCCCGGCAGACACACCCAGGACTGGAGCTCGGGTCCCCAGTCACTGGCAGCTGAGTCTGCTCAGTCCCTGAGGAGAGCTATGCTGAAGCAGGCTGCCTCCAGCAGCAGGACTTGAGAAAAGGTTGGTCCCAAAGGGCCACCCAGGTCCACAGCGCCCAGGTCTCTGTGTGAGGGCAGTGGCTCTGCAGGTTCTCGCTAGGTCACTCAGGGCCTGTTCCGCCCACTCCAGGCCATGGGAACCCAGACAGGGTCACCTAGGAGCACTCTGACTTTCCTGTGAGTTTCAAACCTTTGTGGAATAAAGATTGAAGCAGAAAATAGTTTTTTCTCCCTCTTCCTATTTCCTAGATTTTCTATGATGAGCATGCAGTCTTCCCCCTTCAGAATCGAGCCCCTGGAAGCTGGTGCCTCCCTCACTTCCACTGCTCTCCGCCTCCTCCTCCTCCTCCTCCTCCTCTTCCTCTTCCTTCCTCCCTCTTCCTCCTCCTCCCTCCCCCTCCTCCCTCCCCCTGCCCCTCCCCCTCCTCTTCCTCCTCTTCCTGGCCCCTGGGACCCTCCTACCCTCCAAGTGGCGAAGACTTTTCTCTCTGAAAAGCTCCTCATCCCAGCCAACCTTCCACCACAGTCCTAAACCTTCTGTACATTTTGTTGTGAAACCTAGTTTTAGCAGAGCCCTGCTAAAGAGAGTTGGCCAGTAATCTCACCCTCTGCATCCATCCACACTCCATGCCTGAGCGGTTCCTCACGGTCACATCTGCAAGGGACGGCTGATCGCTGGGCTGTCTTCAGCAGGCACCTGCTGGCCGGCTTAGCCAGAGTCCCCAGCTCCTGATGTTTCTCCTTACTCATCTTCCACCCCTGGAACCTGCAGGTTCCTTGGCAGTAAATCCCCACCTGTCTGTGCTGCTTGCAGGCCAAGCCCTGTTCTCTACTGAGGCCTCTTCCCCCTGACTGACTGCAGCTGTCTGCACGACCTGTGTTGACCACTCTACTTCTCTGCAGCTCTGCTACCTCTTCAGCGCCTCCTGGTCTTCCTGGAGGAAGGTCTGGGGTTGTTGATTCACCCCAGTGCCCTTTGCTTTAGATCCTGACAGCCCACCCCCCTGCTTCTCCATTAAGTGTTAAACCCTTCTCAAGGCACAGGAGGCCTCCCAGGCAGGCTCTGGACAGCCTCTGCCACCTTCTCCCTGTGGTCCCCACTTGCCCTTCACTCCAGCTCCCCAAGCTGGCTGTGGTTCTCTCAAGATACCTGGGTTTGTACCATTGCAGAGAACACACTATGTCCCTCCCTCCCCTCTCTGCTTCCCCAACCATCCGTATCCACAGGGAGTAGTGTTCATGTCAACCACCACAGAAGTCATTCACAGCTATACCAGCAGGGAATCCAGTGCAGACAACTCAGCAAGGTGGCTCAGGCACTCATGCAAGAAGTCTGGAGAACGAGTCCAGGGCTGGGTGTGGTAGTTCGTATGCCAGCAGGTCCCAGGCTCTTCCATTCTTAACATGGAGGACCCAAACTCAAGAGCCTCATGTTTGCAAGATGGCTGCTGTGTCTCCAGTGTTAAGAAATCAGGGAAGGGACAAAAAGTTTTCTTCTAGCGAAGTAGACCCTACACAAGAAAAAAAATACATGTATATATATGCGAGAATTGTATCACATGTCCCCTTCTAAGCACAAGAAAACTTGTTGCACCTTCTGGCCCTACAGCAATGAAACAGGAGGAAAGTGGCTTTAGGCAGCTGACCTACAGCACCTGCCATCCATTTCATCTTGCTTCAGTTACATTTAATTTACAGCAGTGCCCTGCATTAAAGGTTTCTATTATGCCCATTTCTCCAATGAGAAAGCCAAGGGTCCATGATAACAGCCACTTTCCCATGACCCGGGTATGGCACTGGCTCTTTCCGGGAGAACCCCTTGTATGTCCCAAACCCAGGCTGATCCTTATGTTCCCTGTCTCTGTGGTGCACCACAGCCCCCCACAAGGCCTACATCCTTGTCACAATCCCCAGCTGCCCAGGAGTCACCTGGGAGCCCACTGGACACACTTGTCTCCTTCTGAAATCCCAGGGTGAGCTGGGTTATGGACCCAGAACTGTGTCCCTTAGTACCATCCGAGTGACAAGCAGGGGGTGGTCATGGTCCATGGGGAGGTGCACAGACCCCTGGAGTTCTCAATCATCACATCAGAGGACAGAGCTAAACAGCAGACCCCCTCCCAAAACCCACTCTGCTAGAAACAAGGGAAATATTGGCTCCCAGCAAGGCACAGGTCCCCCTGTGCAGGTGTGGGCATCTCTAACTGACCACACTGCCCTGAGGCCAAGCAGGTTCCCCAGCGGAGAAGAGCCCGGGGTTCTCCTCCCAGGGCAGTGAGAGAGGAGGAAGAGAAAATCTTCTGCAATGTGGTTTTTGTTACCACAGCTTCAACCATGGAAAGGGCTGCTCCAGTCAAGCAGGAAGCAGAAAATATCAGATTCAGACCCCACATTCCACACATTGTATACAATTATGTGCTGGAGCCGCATCAGGCCACGAAGAGTCCACGGAGGCAGAGGATGGGATTGCAGCCGAGGACTGGGTGCCCCTTTTGTGGAAATCCAGTTGTGTTCTTGGTGGGCACGAGGTGTTCCAAGGCCCCTGGGATATACACGGGTCACAGCCTGGGTGGCCTGCCTAGGACTGGCTCCAGCATCCAGGCGAGGGCCCTCCTCTGCTCTCCCAGCCTCGTGATGGCTCTCCAGGAGCTCACGCAGGAGTCTCACTACTCTCAGCTCAGACAGCTTCCTTTCTCAGCCTGCCTGTCGTCTGGGGTCCAGAGCCTCAGGCTCAAGTGCCTCTAGGTTCCCAGGCCCTCAAAGCCCATTTGCTCAAACACGGATTCACCAGAACTGTGCTCTTCTCCAAGTGCTCTGTCACCGAAAAGGACATGTCTTGGTTACATTCTTGTTGCTGGGCCAAAGTGTCTGACCACAGGTTGAGAAGTTTATCTGGCTCACAGTTGCAGAGGTTCAGTCCGTAGTCGGCTGGCTCCAGGCAGGTGGTGTGGCAGAGGGCACGCGGAGTCTTAAACTCGGTGCACCAGGTGCTCCGGCCCAGCTGCTGCCTCTCTGCTGATTCCCAACACGTTCTTCCTGTCGCTAGGGCTTTGCAGATTCTCCTACTCTCTTCTTCCCACGCCTGTTTCTTCGGGGCTTTGATGACCCCCCTTTGGAAGTACTGTGTAAGGGCAAGAGGCTCTGTTCTCCTCCCGCAGACTGGGGCCTGGTGTGGGCGGGTCTGTTCCCTTCTCCAGGCCCCCAACCCAGCTGCTCTCTGAGGTAAACTGGTCCCCATAGGCGCCCCCCGCCAGCCCAGGTGGGAACCCAGAGGCTGAGGGCAAGAGGGAGGCTGGGCACCGGGCAGGGACGCTGGAGGCGGCCGCACAGAGCCCTGGCTTCGCAGATGTTTGAGTGAATAAATGGAAAGACCATGAGGGAACGCGCAGGGTGCTGTGCACAGGATCAGCAATTGAAAGAGCAGAGTTCGGTCCCCTCCGTGGCTAAGCATTAGCGCCACAAATGCCAATGAGAGTCCCCACGCCCGGGATGCGCTGCCTCCAGGCGAGG